CTGTTCAAGAGTTTTAGCAGCATGAAATTAGTTGCATTTGTTTGGGCTGTAGCTATTAGAAATGTGGATGCATGCAACAATGAATGAATGGAATTCCAAAATCTCTGTAGATGTTCATTGAAATGAAAAAGAAATAAATTAAAATATTTTAAAAAAAAGAAATGTGGATGCAGCTTTAAACCCTTTATAAGATTCTGGCCTTGATTGGTAAAGCTCCATATCCCAAATAAAGGCATGGAAGAAATTTGTCTTCTTTCCTTAACTAAGAATTTTGTAGTAAGTCTTTAAGCTTTTCACGTATGGAAAATTTACTATAGTTTAAGGAGAAATTATCTCGAAATGATTGTGCTTTTCCTCCTGAGAGACAGCAAATCACCTAATTAAAATATGCATACATCAACAAAAATAATACATGCACAAAATTATTGACTTGAAGATAATTAATTGTATATACACAGAAAGTATAGAGAAATGTGCAAGAAACTACTAACCATCAGAGAGTGGGAATAAAAAGTCGGCAGAATTTAATTTTTACTTTACACTCTTCTGTAAGATTTGAAATTTTTAGCATAAATGTATTTAGTATATACACATTCACTGTATATCCTTCCAGACTTCTGTAAACATACATATATACACACACAGCCGTGTGTGTATGTATGTATATATATATATTTACATCTTGAAATGAACTATGGTAAACAGCATAATTGTTAACAACATATCATTTTCAAAAGTATCCCAGTATATCAGTATATCTTTCTTTAATGATTATATATATATACACATACATACATACATACATACATACATACATACCTGGAATATAGTTGAATGATAGTGCTATTCACTAGACTTCCTTGTATGCATATGGATATTATTCTGTAGCTCACCACATTGTATTTCAGGATAGATCTAGAAATGACTTTTTTTTTTTAGGTTTGGATCAATTTATTGAAATATACAAGGTGCTAGTAGAAAAATCATTCAGTGATGTATTACATCTTAATTTTAAAGTTATAAATACATGTATCATAAGCCTTTGGCCAAAACAAATGAAGAGTCATTTAGCACATTCATTACAGACCAGTAAGAACTGAATTTTGAACATTAAAAAGATCAAGTCACTGAATTAACAGCAGCAACCCCTACTAATCTAGAATCCCACTGAGTTGAAGGTAGAGGTGCCCTGGCAGAACTAGTCATTTGTTACAGCAATCAGAAGAGGTAGGGGCAGGCACACTCGTCAGCAGTGATGGCATTTCTGGCAGGGCAGGAGGGTTGAGTAGGTCAGGTGAGCAAGTCTCAGAGACAGCAGCAACAGAGGGCAGTCCAGCAGGCTGTGAGGCAGGTGGAAGAGTCCAGGTCATCCCTTCTTTGGTCTTCTACCACATACACTGTGATTTTAGGGGCCCCCTGAGGTCCACCCTGCCAGCCATATTGTGGGTATCCTTGGTAAGGATATCCCTGAGGGGGTGGATAGGGTCCTCCCATAGATCCTGGAGGGTAGGCCTCAGGCCCCGTTGGTTGTTGTGAATAAGGTGGATATGGGGCCAATGGGCCAGGGCCCAGATATGGTGGAGGGTTCCCTTGGTTCATCAGGGTCTGAAAACTGTACCGCCTCTCTCCACAAACTGGATGGACGCTGGTTCAGTCCGGGCTGGACGCAAGGAGCCTCATGGAACACTCGGCACCTGTACCCTAACGATCTACAAACCGTGGCATCCCTGATGTCCAAAATGACTTTTTTAATTACGAAACCAACCCCATTTTTTCTCACCTTTTCATCCCCGGCATAATAAATCATATGATCATCTGATTCAAAATGTCCCATGCCAAGCCATCTCATTTCACCAATACCTATTATGTCAGTACTGTGTGGATCACAACAAGCTGTGGCTGACTCTGAGAAGAATGGGAATCCCAGAACATTAGATTGTGCTAATGTGAAACCTATACTTGGACCAAGAGGCAGTCATCAGAACAGAGCAAGGAGAAACTACATGGTTCAAAATCAAGAAGGGGGTCCATCATCAGGGGTGTATTCTGTCTCCGCACCTTTACAATCTGTATGCAGAACAGATCATCTGAGACGCTGGGCTGTACGAAGAGGAATGTGGCATCAAGATTGGTGGAAGAGTCATCAACAACCTGCGTTATGCAGATGACACAACCCTGCTTGCTGAAACTGAGGAGGACCTGAAGTACTTGCTGTAGAAGGTCAAGGATTGCAGCCTCCAATATGGATTGAAGCTCAACATCAAGAAAACAAAGATTCTTACCACTGGGCCAATTGGCAGCATCAGTATGGATGGTGAGGAAATTGAGATAGTTAACAGTTTTAGTTTGCTTGGTTCCATAACCATATCCCAAATAAAGGCATGGTAGTCCTCTCCTGCTCTGTCCCTCCACCCTTCCATGCATGATGTCTTTCTCCAAGGACCGGTCCCTCCTGGCCACATGCCCGAAGAGTGTGTGATGGAGCTTACAGAGTCCCTATTTTTCAACCATCTAATACAAAGGATGTAAACGAAGCTTTCTCGAAGGCCATATTTTTAATTCTTCTTTTTTTTAAATCCCATGGGGCCTTATTTTATTATTTTAACACTTCTTAGCACACCCTATCCCATACTGTAATCAGTTATACACATGCCTTATAATCCAAGTCATTCCTCTTTGTAACAATCCAGAGCTTAATCTCATTGCTGTCAATGCAGAAGGCCATTTTGATCTATCTGCCCCCATTCAAAAACAAACTTGAGAAGAGACACAGATCATTGGCCACATTCCTGACAGCACGATTGACTGAAAAATGCTTGGTCCTTGTTTCAAATAGATATTGAGGGTTCTGCTTGTTAAGTTATTTTCATTGTGTTCATTTTGTTTTCTGTATTGAAAAGTTTTCTAACAATATGGATAAAATACATATAATAGGCCAAATACTTAATAATGTCACTCAGTCAATGAAATAAATGATTAGTAAAACATCATCATCTGGCTTTAGGTCTTCCAAAAGAAAAGAGGACTAACAAGTACATAATGCTTTAACATTTATACATCTTTCACATACATTCTCATTTGACCTTCACAACAACCCTGCGAGGTAGGCAGCATAGATCATTCAACAGATAACGACCATGACTTTTAGAGTAATTAACTGGCATACTCAAGCTTATGTTGTTGTTATTGTTGTTATGTGCCATCGAGTCATTTGCGACTCATAGCAACCCTATGTACAACAGCCCTAAACCCTGTTCTGTCCTGTGCCAATCGCATTGCCTCTGACACACCCATCCCAATTACCCCAGTCACTGACTCAATCCACCTCATTGAGGGTCTTCCCCTCCTGCGCTGTCCCTCTACTCTACCCAGCATGATGTCCCTCTCCAAAGACCTGTCTCTCCTTGCAACACGTCCAAAATATCTCAGACGAAGCCCCAGAATCTTTACCTCCAAAGAGTAGCCTGGTTTAATCCTTTCTAGGATGAATCTGTTTGTTTTCTTGACAGTCCATGGTACATTCAATACTCTTCTCCAGCACCACAGCTCAAAGGCATCAATTCTCCTTCTGTCCTCCCTAGTCATTGTCCAGCTCTCTGATGCATAAGAAGTGATTGCAAAGACCATGGCCTGTATCAGGCACACCTTAGTCTCCAGAGAGCCACCGTTGCTCTTGAGTACTTTAGAGAGGTCCCTAACAGCAGACTTTCTCATCGCAATACATTTTTTAATTTCCTGGCTGCTGTTGCCAAGAGTGTTGACCGTGGAGTCGAGGAAACTGAAGCTGTGAACAATCTCAATCTCTTCGCCATCCATCCTGATGCTACCAATTGGTCCAGTGGTGAGAATCTTTGTCTTCTTGACATTGAGCCTCAGTCCATACTGAAGGCTGCGGTCCTTGACCCTCTGCAGTAAGTGCATGAGGTCCTCCTCAGTTTCAGGGAGCAAGGTTGTGTCATCTGCATAACGCAGATTGTTAATAGATCTTCCACCAATCCTAACGCCACGCGTCTCCTCATAGAGCCCAGCCTCTCGGATAATCTGCTCTGCATACGGGTTGAAAAGGTATGGAGATAGGATGCATCCCTGGTGTATACCCTTCCCAATTTTGAACCATTCAGTGTTGCCCTGCTCTGTTCTGATGACTGCCTCTTGGTCCAAGTATAGGTTTTGCATTAGCACGATTAAATGTTCTGGGATTCCCATTCTTCTCAGAGTCAGCCACAGTTTGTTATGATCCACGCAGGCAAAAGCCTTTGCATAATCAATGAAACACAGATAGACATTCTTCTGGTATTCTCTCCTTTCAGCTAAGATCCATCTACTAACATCAGTCTTTGGCTTAAAATTTCAGCACGTCCTCACACTTGCCGTTCCTACTTCACAGGGATACTGAGGAGAAAATTAATTCAAGGCTAGAAAAATATTTTGAGGAAAATCCACTATATAGTTATACCCACAGACTATGATCTCCCATGATATTTAAATGGCTTGTTCTCATTCTGATTCCAGCTAAGACATGAACCCAGAATTTTCTGTTTGCCTCTGTTCTATGCTCACTCATGTAATTTTCATATGGGTAAGGAACAGTGTGATCTTGTTTTAAGTTATATAAATTACAATCAGGATAACTGCTGTCAAGAGCAAATTAAAAAATAATTAATACAACAAGGCTAATGTGCAATTAGGACCCACTGAAACACATAGAGTAAGCAAAGCAACATCAGATAGCATGATTGCATAGAAGGGAAAAGTGGTATCAGAGTTCAGACTGGCACACACAGTTATCTAAGGCAAAGTGGTGTCAATGGCAAAGAAGTGATCCATTCTTCAGTATAGAAACAAGAGCAGAGGATTTGTGGGAACCTGTGCAAGAGCATCTATCACATAGCTCTCTCCAGCTGCCTACAGGGAATATCAACAACAGTGTCACCTTCATTTTAAAGAATGACTGTAGAGGCTGTGGCCGCAGGCTCACTCCCACCCACCAACACTATTAAATGATGCTGTTTGGAAAAATCTCCTGGAAATTCTGCAGCTTAAAGAAACTCCCATGGTCATATGACTCCAGGCCCTTCTGGGGCTGGCTGAATGCAGTATTTAATAAGCATTGATTGATTACACAGCAGACATCACTGTTACCTTTTTAAAAATTATTCCACCTTCATTGACAGAAACTCAGTGCCCTCAAGCAATGATTCCCTCTCCCCTTCCACCCCTGGTAGAGCACTAAAGCTATAGTCTCTATTTACTGATTCTAGATACATCATGGTCGATTATGAATGCATCAGGGATGTTGTTCCAGACAGGGTAGCATCTGAGTGGCTGCTGTGCTGTGGGGCCATGGTGCAATCCCATGGACAGGACAGGTGGCAGAAGGACTACAACCACCTCCCAAAAAGCCCCCTGGGCAAATACAAGATTCAGACAATCGATGCCACTGACTCTTGTATCATGAACATTGGATGTGACCACCTGGAAGGATTACAACATCTTGAAAAAATACAGTTATCCAAGTGCCATTATATTGAGGACAGCTGTTTAGAGAAACTTGGTCAATTTGAAAATTTGCAAAAAAGCATCTTGGAAATGGAAATCACTTTCTGTGGGAATGTCACATACAAAGGCATTGTTGCTTTGCAGCACTTAAGAAACCTCAAGCAGTTGTTGTTACATGATCTTCCTGGAGTGAAAGAAAAAGAAAAAATTGTCCAAGTCTTTGAGACTTCATTGCCTTCTCTGAACCTAAAATTAGACTTGAAGTGAAAAAAAATCAACAAGTGTCTTACTTCAATATAAAGATTCAATTACAGATGTTGATTCTAACAAATAGTTTATAATTGTGAATAGAACTATAACAATGTGACAGATAATGGCATTTTGGAAGGGGGAAAGGCAGGCTGAGACCATCAGATGTAGGCAATAGTTGTAACTCACCAGGCGTACTAAATTTGAAGTGAGAATTTATAGAAATTATTTTCAGAATAATGAAAAATGATTGCATTTAAATTCTAATATGTTCCTCATTATTTCTTTATACAGTGATATAGAAATCCTCAGTGATTTATGTGTCTGACATTCTTTATTTTGTAAGTAATTTACATGTTACTATAACTTTACAGTTATTGAAGCATGTTACTATAATTACACAATTGTGAAAATCTGAAGCAAAATTACATATTTATTGATAAAAAAAAAGAATGACTGTACCTGTGCTTATAGGCGGAACTATACCAAGGACTAACTCCATGCTAAATGTCCCTGGTTATATAATACAGCCAATACTATCTTTCCTAATCAGACTGGCAAACAGAATTTTAAGTTTTTTTAAGGTCGTGAAACAATTTAGATGGCTGTATTCCAAGGTGGTTTTTGGTGGGTTGTTTTTTTTCAGGACTGACTTTGGTTTCTCCCAAAGGAAGTTATATGGAGTTTTTATTGGTGATTCTAAGTACATGTTTCTAACAAAGTATGATAAGTGAATTTAACATATTAAAAGTTCTATAGCATCTGTTCAGAAAAGATTATATACTACACAAACTATTCAAGTCATACAAAACCATTTTTCATTGCCTTTCAACTGAGAAGAATCCTATTCAGCATGCTTCTCCTGAGGTGGTTCATACTGGGCAAGCTTTGTTTTCAATTTTTTTTTGTTTTCTTCTACAATAGCTTCATATTTCTCTTTCATTTCTGCCAATTCTAGGCGGAGTAGTTCTCTTTCTGCATTTTCTGGAGTTGCAGCTCCTAAATGATGCTTTAAAAAGTCCAAAGCACTATTTGGTTTCTCAGGTTCTTCATATAAGGTCACCAACACCTTTGTCAGCGTGTCCAACACCCCCTTCTTCTCTAAGTACCTCCAGAAGTGTTCGCGCTTCAAGTTGGCGGCTTTGTAATGGGCGATAGTGACAGCAGCAGTGGCAGAGCTGGCGCTGGAGACACTGGCTGTCGGGCTATGGTCGGCACCGTGCATGCGAGACCATATTTTTAATTCTTTTGCGATATCTCCTCTTAAAAGATTTTGCCAATACTGTATCTTTTAACGTTTGGAAAACAGCTTTTCGGTTTACTTTTCCTCATCTTCATTTCTTCTGTCTATCGTTGCTCCCCCTTTTCTAATGGCCTTTTCTCTTTTAAGAGAAAATTTGAGCAAGTTAATTAGCAGCATTATGGTCTCTTATGGTATATTTGTTGAGAGACAGCTGGAAGGTGTTTTTTTCACTTATTGGAAACATCAAGCTTTATTCCTTTTATTATACTACTGTTAATAAATGAGTTCTAATTTAAGAGAATGCATTTATACTAACATTTCTAACTCTATATGAAGAGCATCAGCTCTTTAGGGTAGGACTGAAAGTAGTTTCAAAGCCACAAGGAGTCACTTTAAGAGAGTCTCCTATTCTAGTCATTGAAGATTCCAATCCTCAACTTACGGGAAGGGGGGGAGGTGGATATGAGAAACAAAGCTGTGATTACTTTTAGGTTTTCTTAGGGAAGTTTTTCTTTCTATTTAAACTGATTTGTCTATGACTCTAGTTTCCTTGAACTCCATCTTCTTATAACAAAAAACTTTGGCTTTTCTTTTACATAAATAGCCTTCAGGCCTCCCTGTCTCTTTGAGGGCACTCTATTATTTCTTAGTAATCAGGATCCTTTGAAATAAGGAAAACAAAGGAAAGGACCATCTCTGTTTTCTACAGTTGAGACTTAATATACAGGAAGTTAGAAAGCATCTTGATCCTTTAGGTCCTCTACTGTAACATAAAGTGGTATGGATATCATGGCCTAGGCCTGTTGTGTGAGGTTTTTGTTTGTTGTTGTTGCTGTTTTTAAAATCACCACTAAAATTTCAGGTATTCCTAAAGTATACCCAGGCATAGGAGTGATGAATTGACATTGCTGATGATCAATACCAGCAACTCAAGAACATGCCAGTGAATTGTGAAATTAAGGCATACTGATAATCAATGACTTTCACAAAATCCCACAAAGCTGAACCTAGGGCTTCAAATGCCTTTATAAATTCAGAATTCTTCATTCTGCACACATTTTTGAGCATCTATTATGTTCCAGAGGGAGCTCTGGTGGCATAGTCCACAGAGAGTTGTGCAGCTAAACCAAAGACTGGGTTTCTCTGGCCGTTTGGCTCAACCAGCCACTAAGGGAGAAATGTAAGCAATCTCCTCCCACTCGATTTACACCCTAAGAAACCCAATGAAGGGTCAGTGATGAGTCAGTTATGACTAGATGACAATGAGTTGAGAGTGACAATGTTCCAAGGCATTGTTTCTGGAGGTACATCCTTGAATAAAATGGACATGTTCCCTTCTCCCCTCATAAAATTTGCAATACACATTTTGATACATGTTACTGAAGTTAAGAATTCTAGACATATGCACAAACAAGATTCATTTATTGAAGAACATCTGCATCCAAAAAGGAACTTCTATTAGCAAGAATATTTTCTAGGAGTCTCATAAGACAATTTTTCAGAGGTGATGTTTTCTGCCTCTTGGAATGTTGGTCCTTGCTCTACATATGTGCTTTTCTTGTATTAGTGGTATGTCAGTGTTAGTTTTAAAATCTACCTTTTAAGAAAGTTCATTTTGGGGTTTTCTATGATTGTTAAAGTATTGCGTTGTCTATCATAGGGAGTTTAAAAAATAGAGAAAAAAGTGTGTTGGGGGAGGGTGTGGAACCCAAGGGAAAAAATGTTTAAAACCCTATTATAAAAAGACATTTTGGTTTCATTGTCATTGTTTGCATGCTATTTGCGACCATACCAAAGTCTTCAAGTTTCATTTATGTCCTTGGACATCTGGGTTTATGGTTTTAAGTATCACTGTCATTGACTACCTGGTTTTGTTTTGTTTATCCCCCCTCCTACCCCTTACAGCTGTGCTAATGATCTTTTCCCTGATATCTGTCACCTATGGAGCTACCCTCTGCAATATGTTGGCTATCCAGATCAAGTACGATGAATACAAAATCCGCCTGGGACCTTTGGAAATCCTCTGCATCACCATCTGGAGGTCATTGGAGATTATTTCCCGCCTAGTGATTCTGGTGCTCTTCTCAGCCACATTGAAATTGAAAGCTGTTCCCTTCTTATTGCTCAACTTCCTGATCATCTTCTTTGAACCTTGGATTAAGTTCTGGAGGAGTGGTGCTCAGATGCCTAATAACATTGAGAAAAATTTCAGTCGTGTAGGCACCCTGGTGGTGCTAATTTCAGTCACTGTCCTTTATGCTGGAATAAATTTCTCTTGCTGGTCAGCCATACAGTTGACATTGGCAGACAGAGAACTTGTTGACAAGGGTCAGAACTGGGGACATATGGGTCTACACTATAGTGTGAGGTTGGTGGAGAATGTGATCATGGTTTCGGTTTTTAAGTTCTTTGGAGTGAAAGTATTACTGAATTACTGTCATTCCCTAATTGCCTTGCAGCTCATTATTGCTTATCTGATTTCCATTGGCTTTATGCTCCTTTTCTTCCAGTACTTGCATCCATTGCGCTCACTCTTCACCCATAATGTAGTGGACTACCTCCACTGTGTCTGCTGCTACCGACACCCTCGAGACAGACCTGAGAACTTGGAATCATCCTTGGAGACTGAATCAAGACAAAGCATTGTCTGATTGTTCTCTTCTGGGTATTTGAGGATGAAGTGGGGGCTTCCCAGACCAACTGTGAAATCTAAGGAGATTATAAGGCTGATGGGTGAGCCCACAAGGATATTGATTTGTTTTCTTGTAAGCCCATCAGAAGAAATAAGTTACTTCCTCAGTAAATGATCATAATGCAAATCCACTATACAGTTGGAGACATTAGAGATACTCCATGCCCCTCACTATGTCTGGCAGGACTATAGAATAATTTACCTGCAAGAGTTTGGGTTCTCTGCAACTTTCTGTAAGACATTATTGAACTTTTGGGGGATGAGCCAAAGACCTACAATCTTATAAGAATTTATCCTGACTGCTTAGATGTGACAGCTTACCAGTTGTGGGAGCCTCACAGTGACCAGTCTGATTTCTGTGGAACCTGCACCTATGAGAGAGAGTGTCTAGGTCCTTTTAACTCTAAAGAGAAGCTCTGCTAAAAAGATGGGCTCCAATTATTTTTTTATTTTAATTGAGATTTTTATGGTAAACTTATAAAGATCTTGGATTTCCATTCATTGTTGCACATTTTCCTCCCTGACCTCCTACCTCCAAGTTTGTTTTTTCTTTAGAAAAAATGTTCTTTCATTGTTACACAGTCCCTTTCACAGACCAATTTACTATGCAGCTCTTAATCTGGACTTTTGTTGCACGAATAATACCTAATAATATATTCTTTTCATACAGTTCTCTCCCTTGTCTGTTTCAATGCCATGTACATTATTTATCTCCTCTTAGTTTCCCCCCATCTCATCCCCATCAGTCCTGTTTTATAATGGTATTTGTATTTTTGTGACTGAGATGTCCTCCATGGTTACCCATTTTGTATGATAGTCATGAGTTCTTTGTTTTTCAGTGCAGCATAATATTCCATTGTGTGAATATACCACAGTTTCTCTATCCATTAGTTTGTTGATGGGCACTTGGGTCGTTTCCAACTTTTTGCTATTGTGAACAAAGCAGCAATAATCATAGATGTACATGTATCTGCTTGGACAGCAGTTACGGGTTCTTTAGGGTATATTACCAGTAGTAGAACTGGTGTACCCATAGTAGAAATGGTATTTACATTTCCAACTTTTTGAGGAAGCACCCCATTC